TTAATGACATGGAATAAACAGATTAGAATTGCCCTTTATATATCGATTTATGGCTTGGAGAAGAGAAAAACGAGTGGCGTCTGTCTTCGATCTCTTGTAATAGTTACTTCTTATTCTTCTTCTCAATCGTTGATGTCCAACTCAAGATCTACAAAGAAGATATTTGATGATGAAAACCCTTGTGGATGTGGACGCCTTTCTTGGATTTGGACATCTAGAACAGATGATCATCCAGAGAAAAAAGTTCAGGGCTTGTTCGAACAGATGGACAATTCTAATCTGTTTATTCCATGTTGTTAAATATAATTCCATGTCATTTGCCAACTAGTTATATACCTAATGAATCTGGTTGCCTCTAATGAGAATTGAATAAAAGTGTAAGTTCGTTGGGTTTTTTTCAACAAACAAAACATGATTGGAGTTTTTTGAACGGTTTTGAAACTTCATTGGTCTTACAAGTCATTTTCCGATATTTAATTACACGTCATAAGCCATGTCATTCGTTGACTTTCATTAACCGGTTGACCCTAAATGAGAAGTGTAAGTTAGTTGAGTTTTTTTAGACAAAATGTTAATTCGTTGGGATTTCTTGAACAGACAAAACATAATTAGAATTTTTTGAACGGTTTGAAAACTTCGTTGGGCTTATAAGTCATTTTCCCAAGGTCTTATACAACAATAAGTTTTTTTTAAGAGAAATTAAATATTCTCCTACTTATTCTTTTTAGAAAAAAAAAAGTAAGAAGATATTTAATTTTTCTTTTTTTAAATAACATGATATTTTTTAAATAAAATAACTTATAAGATATTAAGTATTTGAATACATTATTACCATATCGATATATTTTTCTAGCATACTCATTTCACAATTTATTAATAAAAACACCTTAAAAGTAGTCATTTTTATGTAAATTGAATACACTTATTGCCTTTATATTAAACTAATTTGTCGTCTTATCTTTTCATTTTATCATACTAGGTTATAAAACTAATATATATTTTATATTACCTGTAACAAGATTACAATCTATTTTTACCAGTTTTTTTTAAGATATTAACCATTACATATTTATATTAGCTTTTAACATATTTTCCTAAATTTTAAATAAATAGCCAAAATTATGAAACCATATTAATATTAATTTTTTATTTTGCAATTTAATTATTGAATATACTGTGTACCTTTGTAGTTCGCGTTTATAATACGAACTAGAAAGGTTACCCCCGCTACGTGGGGGCCAAAAGCTTTCAATGTTGTTTCCGAATTGATAAATATGACAGACATAGAAAGTGCAAGGATGAAAAGTGCGGGCTTTGCCCCGGACAAAAAATGTAAAAGTTTTGACTGCAAGGACCAGAAGTGTGAAAATGGCTAAAGAATTAGCAACTTTTTAGAAAAGGGATCAAAGTTGTCAAACCGTTAAAGTTTTGTGGCCAAACTTTAAATATTAAAAGGTTCCAAAAAAGTGTAAAAATATTGATTGCAATGACCAAAAGTGTCAAAATGGGTAAAGAATAATGACCAAAGTTGCCAAAAAAACATCCAAATTTAGTATTTCTAACTTCCAACAATAATACAGGGACCAATTCTGCCAAAAAAATGTGAAGTTGAATGGAACACAAACAAAAAGACATGAATAAATTAATTAAAGAAGTACAGGGACCGGATATGTAAATCAAGGGACCAAACTTGGACAAAGTATCCCAAGTTTACTATTCCTTTCTTCCACAACTTTAATATATACAAAGGTGCCCCCCGCTACGCGGGGGTTAGAAACTTTCAATGTCGTTTTCAGAATGACGTGTCCATTATATGCACGTAAAGAAGACCTATGTTGAGTAATAGCTAAGTTCTGAAGTCATTTCTAAATTCTTTCTGAAGGGGCAAATGAGTCAAAATCTCCTCCAAAAAAAAGCATAACTGCTACAAATATTTGACTACAATCAAAAGTAACTAATATGTTCTCAAAATATAAAAACAACAAAGAACCGTTTGATTTTTCATTTACCAAATTTAGCTCACTTGATTCGGTGAAGCTTTTATTAGGATTTTGAAAAAACGGATAGTGAGAGAGAACGTTTGGTTTCGGATTTGGATCTTGCTATTGGTTGTTATATGTTTTCGTTTATATTGAACATATGAAGTGTGCGACAGAATATGGATCAAAAGACATCCGTTCATTAGCAGGTGATTACATGATATTAGATTACATACATTCTGCATACATTAGCAAGGATGTTAGATGGGTAACTGGTGGCAAAAGCAGATGATGTTGGTTGGTTATGTTGTTGGGTGGTCTGTGACGATTTTGTTGCATATGTCGATCGCTGTTGGCATGTTTTCCTGCATCATGTCGAACATATCAAGCATCTGTGTCTTTGTCGAGGTCGGCGATATAAGTTGCTTGTATGGCAGTTGGTCTGGGGCATCTTCTAGCAGAGTCTGCCATTTCTTAGCTGCCTACCATAGAAAATTTTAGGGCTATTTTGGTAATATCAATCTCATAGAAACAAAAGATAATGATGTAGTAACCTGAAAATGAAGGATTGTAGGTTTCACTGATCTTGTATTATGAAAGAACTCATAATACTTACCACCTTTGGACTTCTGTTTGCATTTCTGTAAACAACAACAACAACAACAAACTTTTCAGGATATGAAGAGTGGAAAAAGGAATCGTATTTATGAAAGTAGATATTGTATTTGTAGTACCTTATCAACAACATCACTCGATTATATCTTGTCAACCTCCACACAATCAATCAACTACGAATTTTGTGTATTATATGTAAACGATAAACACGATGCACATGTTAACTCTACTATTAACAAAAAAAAATTATTAATTCTTTATTGGACAGGAATTCTCACCCCACGTGCTTTTCCAGGGAAACTGCAATAAATAAATAAATAAAAATAAGGATGCAGAATTTGAAGAAAACATTTAGATCATGATCGAATCACATTGAGAACAAACACTGAAAGCATGCAGAATTTATACAATAATGAAAGAGTGATTATCGGACAAACCATGGTGCAACTTTCGAAGCAACGCAATCGAGAATCTAAAATTAAAATAACCACCGGCGAGGAAACCGGCTCCTTTTGCTTCCAGTCTGCTAATGCGTGACGAAGGGTATGGGTAAAAAACGAAAGACAAAGATGCGGTCAAAAAATGTTTAAAGAAAGAGACTTGCATGGGATTAAAAAAACACTTTATCCTAACACATTAGAATTACAAAATACGGTAATTAGATTCTTGTAATGCAATAAAGACTATTGGTCCCCAGTTAAAGTGATCAATATTTCCATATGTTTGTAATATTACCTGGGATTACATTCTACACCAACTGTAGTAAGTGCATCATGGAGAACATATATAAAGCAGAAAGATTTCAAATCCTCTACAGAAGTATAGCAAACAAAGAGGCAACAACCTATATTACCTTCAAAACTGAAACTTTTCCAACAAAAAGGCTACATAAATCAGTTGTACACAAAAATGGACTGACCTGAAAGGCTGAAACTACCACCTAAAATCCAGAGCACGGATATCATAAAGTAAGACCACAATAGCTTTTTCTGTATCCTGACAAAAAAAAAAAAAAAAAAAAAAAACCAAAAGAAATCATACTGATTAGCTTATTTTCTTGTACACAAAGCACATGTCAAATGACTGCAAATCCTTTTGCCATTTCCAGTTATGAAAGAATCAAAGGATCCTCCAAACACACATACACATACAACCGTTCATTTGTACATATGCAATCGCTCAAAGAAATATGAAATTTGGACTTATAGATAAGCGAAGTCAAATGTAGGCATTGAGAAGTCCCAGGTTGTAAGTGGTGTAACTTATCTGACCTGTTTCACAAAACTCGGAATTCTGACCCGGGTTGACTTCATTTTTGTCAGAAATCAACTATGTTTCCTTCAATTGAGTGGACTGAAGTCTAGAAACAACGCTGGTAGAGTAAAGAGTAATTAGGATGTTTCATCGCCACTATGTTCGATGGTCTACGGTCTCTTCTGGTCACCTCATCTTCTCCTACATGTGAAAATATAATAGCTTCAGATAGGGCACAAAGGGTGTAGGCGGTAACTGAAGCACGAAAAACGAATAGTGATTCAAAGAGGAAAAGGGGGGTAGCGGGACCTGAGATGTTTCTTAAAACCAGAATCGAGCCCTAATCTGACACGAACTGAAGCAGACGTAGCGATGACGGTGGTCAATCGCTTCTTACAAAGTCTCGGAACGACAAATGGTGGTAGCGGCGCCGATCGATGCTTTTCAGGAACATCGACATGCTGAAGAAGTTGGAGGTGGCAGAATCGAGCCCTAATCTGACACGGACTGAAGCAGACGTGGCGATGGCGGTGCTCAATCGCTTCTTACAAAGTCTCGGAACGACCGATGGTGGTAACGGCGCCGATCGATGCTTTTCAGGAACATCGACATGCTCAAGAAGTTGGAGGTGGCTCATCCCACGAAAGGTTAGTGGAGTTTCGATCATGTGTGGTTGATGGCAAGAAAGGTATGAAGCAGAAATATGAGAAGAATCCAGAACATATCGATGTGATGCACGATGGTCAACACGTGCAGACGCAATACAGTGGGGGGAGATAAAGACCTGAACGACGGATATTTCTTACCATGGTCGAGGAGCGAGCCCGATGAACAGTAACCTAGTTAAAGTGACACACAAACAAAAATAGAGGGACCGGAAATGTAATTTAAGAGACCAAAATTGACCAAAATATCTTAAATTTACTGTTAAAACTTTTCACAACTTTAATATATATATATATATAATAATATAATAATGGGCTTGGCCCAAAAGCCGCCCATAGGATTGGAATATGCGCCTTCCTAAACTACGAATCAACGGCCATCCAAAACGACAACACCATAAAGATCTTTTTTTAATTAAAATGTTCATTTCCAGCCCCTTAACTATTTAACATAACCAAAACTGGTCCTTATACGTTACCTTATTTCACTTCTCGGTGTTCGAAACCCAGAAATTCTTTGATTTCTAGCCCCGGAGTTGGGAGAGAGTAGCTATGGCGGTATCTTTTTTTCCTTCTTCGACGTGTTCCTCGATCGCAGTTTCATTTTCTTCATCTACGATGTCAAGAAGTACTTTTAAATTTTACGCTAGTTCATGTTCTTTGTCTCGTGCTTCAATAGGTTCTCCTCATCGGCTCCATTTGAGGTAAATTTCCTTTTTTATTGTTTTGCTTTCTATTGGTTTCGTGAATAGTTCAGATTCTGTTCAAATTTTAGAGATGAATTTTTTATTTTGTAGCTGAGAAGTCTATTCGTTTTAAGATGGAGAAATGATGTAATTGTTTTAAATTAGAGGAAAACAAGATGTTTTGTTGTGATGAATACCGTAAAGCTACTTGTAACAATGATTTTATTGATTTTTGAAAAAACTGAGATCCTGCGATATTGAATTCGAATGAGACAAGTGATTCAAGTGTTGAATTGTTGGTTGTGATGATTGATGATTTTTTTCTTCTAAAACTCAGCTCGTAGAAACTGAGATCCTGCTAAAATTGAATTCTAAGATTAGTACCTTTGATCAAAACTCAGATTTAGGCCAGTCAATTTACTCAATTTTTAAGTTGATTGAGGGAAATAGAAGACAACCTCCCTGTTTATGTTAATCTAGTGTTTATGAGCAAGGAATTTGGATTTGCAATTGTATCAGAAATTGGTACCCAGATATGCTCCAATTACATTTCTAAGCCATGGATTTGAGTTCCCAAACATTCTCACAAAGAGTAATAATCAATAATCCACCTTGATATTAGAGGATGAAAGGAATTTGAATTTTCTGAGAAAATAATCGATAATCTGAATCTTTATGTAAGAATAATTCATGGTCTCTTTGTTTATCATTATGTTACAAATATTATGTTTACTTGTTTATAATTCATTTTCATGCAATTTCTTGATCATCTCTGTAATTTCACATACATAGGAGGTCATGTAAGGTCCAAGCAAGTGTCCTAAAAGAGAATGAGGAGAAAGTGATTGTAGAAGAAACATTTCAACCCAAAACTTCTCCTGATGAAGAGAATAGAAGTCCAAGTGAGCCCCCTTCAAGTTCTATGGAGAAATTGGTCATAAAGATTGAACAATCTATAAACATCTTTCTTACAGTAAACATCTTTTCTTATTAAATTATTATGCTTTATGCATAAATTGCTCCCTTTAGACTTTAGAATTTGTTTTCTCACTATAAACATAATACTGGTTTTCTCATGTCAGGATACAGTAATCAAAGTACTCGACACATTGTATCATGATAGAGACTATCCACGGTTTTTTGTTCTTGAAACTATTGCAAGAGTCCCATATTTTGGTAAGTGTTAATAATTTCTTTTCCAATTTATCAGTTTCTTTTTCTTATTTTGTTTTTAGTGGACCAAGAACTACATGAACATTGAATACGAATGCCTAAAGTGAAAGAGATGTATACAGAACATGTATGTTAGGCATATAATGATGTTTTATTTTTTGGAAATGTAGCTTTTATGTCTGTTCTTCACATGTATGAGACTTTTGGTTGGTGGAGAAGATCAGAGTATTTGAAAGTCCACTTTGCTGAAAGCTGGAATGAGATGCATCATCTGCTTATTATGGAGGTAATATTTCATATATAAGATAACACTTGTAATAATTCATAAGATATTGTTATTTGAAACTTAGTAAGATACCCAAATCCCTAATTTTAAGATTTACACTATATTAATACCAATATTGGCTTTTGTGTTTTAGCAAACAGTATATACTAAATTACTAATAAAACTTTTGTATTTGTTATCTTTAGTATATTTTTAAAACAATAATTGATTTAAACTAATTTTATTTTCATCTGCTATTTTTTTTTTTGCAGGAATTGGGAGGAAATGCATGGTGGTTTGACCGGTTTCTTGCTCAACATATTGCTATCTTCTATTATTTCATGACTGTTTTTATGTACATGTTGAGCCCAAGAATGGCATGTGAGTTTGAAAAAAATATATATAAATAATATTATAACTTCTTGTTTATAATTAATCTTATGATTTTTATATGTTCATTGATTTATTCTGCAGATCATTTTTCAGAATGTGTGGAGGGGCATGCATTTGAAACATATGACAAGTTTATCAAGGAAAAAGGAGGTATGCCTCTTAATTTATTTATTTTTCATTACATTTAGTTCAGTATAAAATATCTAAAATACCCTTAATAATAATTGCTAAATAGATGAATTGAAAGAAATTCCTCCATCTAAAGTTGCTGTGAAATACTACACAGAAGAAGATCTGTACTTGTTTGGTAAGTTACTTTAATTCTATTTTCTTATAAAGGCATTGTACTTTAAAATTAATGAAAGTACATTGCTATTTCTTGTATCTAATAATTTTAGCATCTATATACAGATGAATTTCAAACTGCACGGATTCCCAATACTCGAAGGCCAAAAATAGGTAACAAAATCTAATTCTTTCTAATAATTCCAATCAAATTACAAAAAAAAAGTAGCAACGTACTTAATTATATTTTTATTTATTATTATTATGTTCAGAAAATATGTATGATGTGTTTCTGAACATAAGAGACGATGAAGCAGAACATTGCAAGACAATGAAAGCATGCCAAACACATGGGAACCTTCGTTCCCCTCATTCTTCAGAAGAAACAGTTACACCTGTTTCTTCTGAAGATGATTTGGGGTGCATTCTGCCTGGCGCAGAATGCGAAGGTATTGTAGATTGTATAAAAAAATCCATCACAAATCCTCCCGCTAACCATATTAAGCCATAAACATACATAAACGTGTAAATAAAGATAACGAGGGTAGTATCTGATTTATACATGATACATATGTAGAGAGAGATTTGATACAAGCTTAAATATTAAAAAAGGTGAAATAACTTTCTTATATGAAACATGGAAGGGTGTTTCATTTTAGGTGTTTGTTGGTTGTAATAGTTATATATCAATTTTGGTTTTGTTGTTACTTTGTAGATTACTTTTTTTGACTAGATTATGCAATATATCATCATATTTTTTCAGATCATGTTATGGATTTGCCTTCGGGTGTTTGATCTAAAAATTAAAATCCTCGAAGAGTATACTCTCTCTCTATCTCTCTCTCTCTCTCTCTCTCACACACACACACATGCAAATGAACACACAAAATGCAAAAATATTCTATGAAGATCGATATCATGAAAACCATACATTTTTTATGAAAAATAATTTTAGGGTTATTAAAAGTGTTACTTGTCTTTAGTAGGAAATATATGTCTACTATAGTTGAATTAATCAACTCTTTTGCTGTATGTATTGTTTGTCTCATGCTCTTTGTGTGCATCAAATTATATGAAAATTGTGATGCATTAAATATATGATCGTACACAAGCATTGCCTTGAATCTAGTAACAGTTTTAACTTCCAATAAAATGTGCCGACCTTTGTTTAACAAGAAGTGGTGTCAGTTTATGGCTTACAATAAACTGATCAACATTTTTGTTTCCTCATGTGTTATATTATTCAGATGTATTCTTTCATATACTAGTGTTGCTGCTTCTTGATCAACATAACTCTTTGCTTCAAATCTTTAATGTGTAGTTCTATGCTAGTCCTTGACTTATACGGAATTGTCCACGATCATATGGACAAAGCTATGTTATATTTTAATACACTTAGAAAAATACATTCAAGTCCTAAAACTGGTTGTCTCAGAATATGATATTGGCACATATTTCGCTACTTATAAGGTACTAATTTTTACGCAAGGACAATTATTACAAATTGTCATAATCAAATCACGAAACATAATTTGGGACTAAGCCCGGAGGGAATGGTAGCATTCCTAACATCCTATCAAATCATTTTTTTGATTGCCATGTGATTTTTTTGTCTGCCACCTTGCTAACAACTTATTCTTAGCATTTCATAGAGAGTGGTAGTACCCCTAGGACTCTTTGAACTTTTTTTTTTTTCAAACTTAAATAAATTATACTTTCTTTGTTTCAAAATTATTGTCCACAGACAAAAAATATACAAATTAAGAAAATATTAGTTACCATTAAATTTATTAAATGAAATGAGAATTATATCATTTTGTTGCATTTAATTTCATGGTAGGATAACTAATAATGAGGGGTATTTTGGTAAAAAAAAATATTTTTAGAAGTAGTGTATTATTTTGGAACAGACAAAAAAGGAAACATGAACTATTAATATGAGACGGAGGAGTATTTTTTCATATACAAACATTTCATATTAAGTAAATTATATTTTTTTAAAACACAAATAATTAACATTAAATAAATTATACTTTTTTAAAACACAAATATTTCATATTAAATTAAAAAAGTTATAATAAATTAAAACTTAAATAGATTATGAAAGGTGAATGATTATTTATATTGGTTAAAAGAGATGTTTAAAATTTGAATTTTAAAAGCAAAAAAGGCTATTTTTTTTAAATGAAGTTGTTTATTAAAAAAGTGAAAGGTTTTGTTTAAAAAAAATGGTCAATTTATGTACATTGAAAATGTATTTATTCAGATTTGTTTACAACAAAAAAACACTAAAAAAATTTGATGGTCAATAGTATTTTAATATAGAGTCAATGGTCAAAGACCCAATACCCAATCAAATCATTTCTCTCTCCTCTCGCTAAGATTCTAACGAGTTGTTGGTGGCGAACCCATAGCATGCTAGGGTGCGGTGTGCAACAAGATTAGCGACTTAGTAGCGAACATGCTTAGCGAACAACTCTTCGTAGCCTAACAAACTGCCCGATTTGATGATGAAAAAAATAAAAAAAATGTTGTCCCATTAAAATATTTTCCCTTTCTATTTTTCAATGTTTTTGTAATTTTTGTATTCTTGAATTTCCATTAAAGTAAAAATCATTAAGTACATATTACAATTTCTATGAGTTCTAACATTGGTAAAATGAAGTTGTTTCTTGTTAAATATACTGGAACTCCTTAACTTCTTCAAGGAATACTTCTTGAGAAAATTACACGGTTGGTCCCTATGGTTTGGTGTTACTTGCACGCTTCGTCCCTGGAAAGAATTTTTAACTCGGACCATCCCTATAACTTTATTTCGTTACCCGCCTAGTCCCTTAGTTAACCTTCCGTCTTATTTGGGGTTAGGAACTATTCACGTGAGTGGCACGTTGGGGGCATTTTTGTCCTTTCAACCCTACAATATATTAGCGCCATTTAGAAGACGGATGGTTTTACGATTCCGATCATCGTCAAACCAAAACACACACAAACACACACTTGTCAGACGAATTCCCTTTCTTCTCTCAAACGAAAAACCCTAATTGCTAGCTAAAACTTTGTATGCTTTTCCAAATAATCAACAATTCCGGTTTGGAATTTAAGTGAAGCACGAGGTCCGATCATCAATGAAGCAGAAGTTCGTCTTCAATATGGTAAGTCCGCCTAGTCCCTAATCTCTTTTTTATTTGCATTTGCTTCGTGAAATCCTACAACCCTAATCAAGTGTTAATCAAATTTTTTTGGGCATTTCCTTAATAGGTGATCATCCGACCATGTTTTGCATGCTATTAAACCATGGTGGAAAGTTTACTGATTTTCCTGGAAGGAAGTATGTAAACGGAAAGAGACATTACGTTGAGTTAGTAGACATCGAGACTTACTGTGTTCACGATATTGATGACATGATGGTGAAACTTGGGTATATCGATGAAAACCTACATATGGAGATGTACTATCATTTTCGAAGACCACTTTGTGATTTGGATTTTGGCTTGTTTGCTTTAGCTTCAGATGATGACGTAAGGCATTTAGCAAAATATGTTGGTCAACATAAGCTAATAGAGGTGTATACAGAGCACGGACAAACGAAATTACACACATACTCGATGTCACCAAACCCATCTAAGGTACGTATAGTTGAGATTGATTGTACCCCAAAAAGATTGTTTTTGGAATGGCATGATACACAAGTTGAGCCTACTGATGTGTCGACATTTGAGCCTAATAGAAACAACCCTCCTGTTTCACCTACTAGAAATGAGCCTTCAATTGACAATGTGGACATGGTAACTGATAATGCAATAAACATGGAAACTGAAATTGAACATAGTAGTGATGATAGTAGCAGTGGTGATGAGATCAACAGTGGTGTTGATAGTGAGAGTCAAGATGATGACTTTCTTGTGGACGAAGACAATATCATTGATGATGTTGAAGTTGACATGAGAGAATTCCACTTGAATGTTGACCCAGATGTTGAGTGGATTGGAGGTGCTTCTAAAAGAAAGAATCATGTAGTTACAGAAGATGGGTTGAAAGGATAAAAATGCCCCCAGCGTGCCACTCACGTGAGGAGTTCCTAACCCCAAATCAGACGGAATGTTAACTAAGGGACTAGGCGGGTAACGAAATAAAGTTATAGGGATGGTCCGAGTTAAAAATTCTTTCCAGAGACGAAGCGTGCAAGTAACACCAAACCATAGGGACCAACCGTGTAATTTTCTCATTCTTCTTTGACATTGACAAACCAATAAATTATTAATTCTTGTTAGCCATTTCAATGGATATTATGAAGTAGTATCATTTTGTAGAGTTAACATCTCATTATTATATCCTGGATAAACTTTAATGCATCATCTTTTCACTTTAATCTACTCTTCATCCATCCTATCATCATGTAGACACAATATTTAGTCATCAGGACCAAGTCTATTTCCCTAATGTCTATCTTTTTCATCTTCATCCTATCCCTAGCTAGATGCTAGCTAGTATCTCAATTTCTGTTTTCCTCTACTCCCACTTACATTTGTCCATGCTCTCATTTAGATTTGTGCATTATTATTTTTCTCATTTGTACTTTTTTATATAATCAAACTTTTTACCTTCAAAAATGAAATTCATACAAATTAGCTTGTTTAGAGTTAATTCAGAAAAAAAACATGTTTGGGAACATGTAATAAATTTAGTATAAATTTATAATAAAACACATAACAACCAAAAGTAGAAGTTGATACATCGGCAACTAATTTTGGATTTGATAACACGATCTCTTATCCCTAGGAAGATATCACATATATTTCACTTTCAATTAGAACGAGCTAGTTCTCTTATCCTCCATTCCTCTTACAAACTACAAAACTAGTGTTTACTTTATTTCCTATCGATCCATCCATCACTTATTATATTTATTTTATATACATCATAAATAAAATACTTTTATCTTTTAATAGATATTTTTTTTGTCGCATTTGTTAAATTTTTGTTTGTTATAATTAACAAAAATAAATTATGGTTTAATATTTACTTGTTTATCAAGCATAAAAAAACTTACAATTGAATTTATATATAAAATTAAATATAAAGAATTTCGGTAAAGAATTTATTATATATAAATTAGATATATATTAAATCCAAGTCTTATAATGTGTAGTATTAAAGAAATTATTATATAACTAAGGTAGTTATTGGATTTAAAGTATTAAAACATATATATATATATATATATATATATATATATATATATATATATATATATAGAGAGAGAGAGAGAGCTAGGTTCAAATGTTTTACCTAAGTATTGTGTTATTGTATGCATAAATGTGGGTCAATCAAAATTAAATAAATAAATAAGGGTAATTTAGTAATTTGCTTAATAAATTCCAAAAATAATCCCTATAATCATGGTATCTCTCCAGTTTAAATCTCGTTCTCCTCTTTATCTAAAAACCGATTCCGAAAACCCTAAATTGAACAAATCGACACCAGCGACCCTTCATCGTCTTCTTCATAGATCGGGAGAGGGAAGAATCGAGCGATCAAGCATCGAACAGAGGTGGTCTTGGTGGTGGTAATCGATGTTCTCCCTTTCTTCCTTACTGATCATCATGTCTTCTTCCTTACTTCGAATGTCAATTTCTTCCCCCATCGCCTACGGTTCTACTGTGTCGATTTCTGC